AAACACCTTTCAAAATGATCCAATTCATTCTCCCCGGGTCGTGAACTGAGGCAGTTTGGCGCAGGTTATACAGTGATATCTTCTCAACCGTTCTTAGAAAAGACTGCACACTGGTCTTGTTATCTATTGGTTATCAAAAATTCACCTCTTTGGCCGTCAAGTTTCTTTCGAACTCTACTCATTTGTGGCACTTTAATCTTCCGGAGTGGTCTTCTCACACATTCACTTGCTCTACTTATCCTACTTTAGCTAGAAGAACATCGGGATCTGTGTAACTCCTGGACTAGGGGTTTAGCTTTCAACCTGAAAGTACCGACGGGAAGACAAAAGTAAACATTGCTGAAGAATTTTAACCAGAACGTAAAATCTTTTCGGGACCTTTTGTTGGCCATTGCACTTGCGCAACCTACGGTAGTGAAGTATCCTCACACAAACCAACAGGCAGCGGGTGGGCGACTTTTCTCGCTCAGCCATTGGGATCCGCAGTGAATTACAATCTGCTCGCACAACTAGCAAATCCGCAATGATGTCGCAATGGAATCCGAGCTTTTATCATGTATTTCGAAGAAACTAGATTTCGGTGTTGTTATCAATTTTCACCGCGCTTCAATCTCTTAGCGTTATTGTTCCGAATATTTTCAGATGTCGTACCAATCCTGACCAGTACGGTGATCGAGTGTCAGAAAGCCGGATTGAAAACTGCCAGTTTCGGATACGCGGCGATGTTGTTGCGTCCGGAGTATCGGGATAAACTGGACCCGAAACATCGACGCAAATTCGAGACCCTGATTCGACGACCAAATCGGAAACCAGCGAATAGTGACCTGACCGCTGGTGGACCAGATGCCGACCCAAGTGATGCGGAAACGGAACCCTTGACTCCTTGTCCTTCTTGTGCACAGTCTTTGCCGGCAAGCGTGCTCTATTGCACAGAATGTCGTAGCACCTTGCCCTATTGTATTATCACGGTAGGTTGAATGTAACTCGGTAGTAGATGAGAATGATCAACAAGTCTTGAGGCCAATTAATGATGTTTATTGTATTTCAAAGTATACATTACTGACAGTTGTTCTTCATCATATTTACTTGAGGGAGATGTCTTTCGAAACCATGGACAGCTGTTTTTTATCCGTGGTCTGCCATGCATTCATATGTATGACATGTCTGAGTGTCATCCGTTGCTCTCTTTTGGATTTATGACATACTGTCTAGTTTTCAAATAGACAAAATTACAACATATCTTAATGTTTATTGATTGCGATGGCAAATGCAAAATACTGTCATATCACTTATATTTTCTTGTAAGATAATTTTTTTACTTTTTGCACAACTACGAACCTCGTTTGCTCGGTCGTTTTCGTTAATTTCTTTTGATTGCTCATTTTGGACGAAGACTAAACGGGAAAAGTAGACAGATGACACTACGACCGGGATAAAGATGGAGAATCCAGATGGTCCGTCTTTGAAAGCGAAAAATTCAACTCGTTTAAATTGTGTTCAAATAACATAAATCGATCAAAAAGTCCTACCGCTTTCGTATATTTTAGCTGTACGAGCGTTATTCAGCGTCGTGTATTTTCCCCCAGAATCACCGTTCAAACTCATCACATGCATACAATCGTCGAATTGCTTTCCAGGGTAATCACGTAATCAAGAATGATTTGACCATATGCCCTGGATGTCAGTTTCCTGCCAATTACAGTGATATGATGAGGTGAGTGTACGAGTTACAGTTATCCCAAATAACCGTTTAGTAATTCCATAGTGTTAAATAAGTACAAACAAGCTTTCATTTGTTGCCTCGAACAACTCATTAAAACTGAGAGCTGTCACTTTTTGTTCTTGTTTTCTTAATGGTGAAGGTGTGTGTGGTCCCGGAGATGGGTATTCAAGAAATTGAGAATAACTTTCCTTGAGCGAAAATTCAATCGTATGACTCCTTCTTCGTGCCTGTCATAATTCGAAATTACTTAGTTACAAAAATTATGCGGACAAACTTTTGATTTTGGAGGAATGACTCTGTCGGTTCACTTAAATGGGCACAGACTATTTACCGGCATTTTCTAATGCATACATCATCACTGGCGATTAGGTGTATTAAGAAAACCGGTTTTAATTCATTAAAGTGTCGTCGTACTTAGTCACACACACATTGCTTCAGTTGAATTTCTGATTTACGAAGAAATGTTCGGTTACGGTATCACATCCTAATTTGGAACGCATGTCTTTGAAGAAACTGTTCGTCGTGCTCATAGTTCGGTTAGTCTCTAACGAAAACTCCGGATAAATTACAAGCGTTTTTCATTCTTTCCCGACTGACTAAAAACAGAATGTTGTGTGCATCAGTGGATACTAGGACGAACACCACACAAATTAAGTATTGAACCACCTGTTCACTTCCCACTAGTTAGTTATTTCATACAATTTCACGTTTTCATTCACCTGCGATCAAAACCCCTTAAGTGTGTTGTATTTCTGCTGGATGCTTGTTAAGAATCTGGAATCGGAATTTAACCAGGACAAGAGGAAAAGTTGCCCAAACAACACGCTGTCTGATTGGGTTGTCCAAAGTGTTGTGCAGGTTGTCAAGTATAGAATGAAGGAGGATGGAAAATGTCGTGACTGAACTGCATGGATCCTCGGATAATCGTAATTTTTGAAATATCCCCATTGTTCGGGCTGGGACTTCAAACCCTTACTCTTGAGCTACATGATCGACGATTATCACCTCGTGCGAATGGCTCAATCAATTTAGATGGTGAATGTTTGAACACAAGAAGTACGCACTGTTGACAAGTCCCAAGCAGGACGAAACAGCTGTCCAGTGCTTTGTTGGTTATCACAAACATTTCCATCGCATTTAAATGCATACAAACAGTGGGGAATTAACGATCTCCCCAGGAGTGAAACCTACATCCTACATCCAATATCATTAACAGTGCCTGGTGCCTGTGAGAAACCGAATGGGCTAATCTAAACATTCACCATCTAAATCCCCATTGTTCATTGAAAAGACCAGTGAAGCGAGGAATTCTTTTCAATTATTCATTCTCAAGCATCTGCATTAGTTAACGATCGCGGGACAGCAACAATAGAAATGATTCATAAATTAAACCAGGGGTTAGTTACACAGCTGTTATCACTTGATTAAACTGATTACGTAATACGATCATTCAGTCACCGTTTGATTATCTGAACAACAATTACGTCATATCGTGGGACACAGCAACCTCGATAGTCCGCTTTTGTTTGCACAGTTCAGGGTGGCGGATAGGAATAGATACCACATCGACCGTGCAAAGCGTAATTTGTATCACTTGTTTGGGCAGATTAATCGGAGTTTTGTAGATGACCTTAGATGGCCTTTCGATATCTACCGTTGGCCCCGTGTTGATCAGATGCTCCACAATTGAGCTACGAATGGGTTTTGATAGTCCTTTTCTGTATGGACCGAACGGGGGGGAGGTATTGTTACGTTTTGTGACCAACACAATCGGGCAGCGGTTCATTCCACATTTTGAACCACGGTAGTAGACGTATCGACACAGGTCAATAGAGATTCCGTCCAATCTAATTACGGCTAGTGTATATGTGTATACTCGTTGCACTACCACGTAGGCTGGCCACACAACGAGACAGTTGTCTCAACGAATAACGAGTGTTTCACGTGATAGTTACTATACGGTAACAATTTTGTCCTCAAGTTTATGATTGTTGGTTGGCGCGGGGCACAGAATGCAAACTGAATCCGTCTGTCCCGCGATCTTCATTATGTGACCCACACCACTCTTCACGCACACTTTAATTCCCGATGAAACGATAAGCACCTGTCAATAACCCCTGACCTGCACGCGCAAAAAACGCTTACCTTAAGCCTCACACATACCATGGCCGCGAACTGATGTATAAATGCATTTCACACGCGTCTGTTTCCAAATTTGGCCAAACAAATCACACTACAATAATCTTTATAGAAACGGGAAAGGCCTATAACTTGTTAGCAAGCGGGATATGGCCAAGTTACCTGGATGAAAGCAGTGGTCATAACCGAAGACTTCGACAATGGAAAGCCTGATTCTCAAAGCAACGGGTCGGGCCAGTCGAGTGAGTGACCACTGTCACAATCGGGAAGGTGTCTGTGGTTCATACACCTATTCTTGGTTGGTTTACATCGGGTTTCTCTTAACCAACTCGCGAACCTATTCCACCAACAGTATCTCATATTACGTCCATAGCGTTGAAACTATCTATCTAAATTGTTCCCTTTATAAGTCCAACCCTCAACCATACCGCCACTTTCCTCCGCAAACTCACTACCTTTGACCAAATGAAAACCAATTGAGAAACACATTTCGATTCATAGGGGTTAGAAACGGCGTGAGAGTGACCTAAAAGATGTCTCGTTATGTGATGACCGAAAAATTTCACCACTGAATTGGTTCGTTCATTTTAAGGACTAATCAGCAGTCGGTACTCGAGTCCCGAACATTCACTGTGTTTCGTATTCAAATGGGGCTCAGAGATAGCATGTATTTTTGTCTTCCTCAAAAATACGCGAAAAATCGTGATAATGCATCTGCTTACTGATCACATTCACTTAGTTGCCGGTTCTTGATTGCATTTTAATATCTCCGAACTTGTCTCGTTCATGTGAATCACAGTTTTGTGGAAAACACTGACACTCCCACATGTCCAATGTGTTCGGTAGAGCTGAAACGAGATTATATTCGTCGGATCACGGATCCGGCCAAACTACTCTATGCGTGGATCACTAATGCGGAGGAGTCGGAGGAGCCGGAAACGCATCCCCGTCCGTGACAGCCGAGATTAAATGAATGGACGGACTGTGCTCTGATTGATTATCCCACCCAGCCCTCACACCATCCCTAGAAAATTTAATGCGTTTCAAGTTGCACCTGTGCAGAATAAAATATGCTGATTCAAAAGAAACATCGTTTTTCTCTCTCGAATCGTTATCACTTCTGTGGTCAATGGTACACACACATAGATGGACAATTTCTTTCTTCAACCGTCCTACTAGTACACATGCAGGTATTGATCGAACTCGTGCAACATGACTCTCATTTTGGAGATACATTTCAGATTCCATGGTCATACGTGTAAATCGATAGTTGTGGGTGGGTAAAATTTATTCTGAACTTCGTCTCTCACTGCGATATTCTTAGTTCTCACCAATATAGAAAGAAGAAAATATCACCAGATGTCAACATTTCCTTTAATCTTCTCAATCGCTTACTTAAAACAATCAAGCATATATATATATATCGCAATGGATGGCCGAATATATTCCAAAGTGGTTGGTGAAATCGATAATTGAT